AAGCTCAAGGACCCGAGGTCAATCCCCAGTACCAAAAAAAAAAAAAAAAAAAAAAAAAAAAAAAAAAAGTGAGGATCCCAGAGATTATACAGGGAAACTGCAAAGGCTAGACCCTTAGGTGACGAGAGAGAAGTAATCTGAATTTGACAAATTCAAACTCGGGAACTCCGTTCGCCATCTCCTCTGGTATTTTCTTCTCCTTTGCCAGGTGTCTCCACGAAGCGTCCCTACTCCTTAGCTTCCCCGCGGGCCGCCCAGCCTCTTTTCTAGCTGTCCAGGCGGCTGCGGCTCCCCCCCTTTCCGGGTGCGCCTTCAATCAAATCAGTGGGCTCGGAAGCCCCGCCCCCGCAGCCGAGACCCCGCCCCCTGAGGGGATCGGCTTGTATTCTAGGCCTTTCAGTTTGAGCGGACCGGCGCGCCTTCCTCAAGGAGGGTGGGGATTTTCGCGGCCGCTGTCGGTAGGTTGGGTTGGGCTTGTGTTCGTGCTGGGGCCAGGGCCCGGCTGGGCGGAGAGGAGTTGTGCGTAGCCGGCGGGTTGGGCCTAGTGCGGGCATTTTTTCCCAGAAGGGACCGCGTGCAACCGGGGCTTTGGGGCCGGGCAACCTCCTGGAGTGGGTGGGGCCGCGCGTGCGCAGTTAGCCTCCTAGGACTTCTCAGGGTTCGCGGGGCTTCAGTGTTTGGGCGGGTTTTCTGGTGTGGTGGTGCTGCGGTGGTCATCTTCGTTACACCTGGAGGGGTTCTGGGCCACCCCTCAGTGCAGCTGATACTGTAAAAGTGGAAAGGCGAACGGCGAAACTCTTCTAGGAAAGGCAGATGGAAACAACATCGGGAGCAGCAACAGGGCGGGACTGTGGGCTTGGGACCCAGTTTTCTACCTCTCCCTGGGAACAGGGCGTGGCCTAGCCTGGACAGTTTCTATGGCTCTGCTGCCCTCTTCAGGGCTTTGGGGGAATTCCCCTGAGGGGCCCTCGGCCAAGGCCCTGCTGCAAATAGCAGTTCTCAGGACCCCATGCCTGCTTTTGCTCTTCGCACTTGTTAAGGCGTTCAGGAGACTTAAACTGGTGAATCTGGTTAACATGAATCTTAAAGGCAGCCTTGAGGGACAAAAAGTGAAATTTAAAGGCCTCAGATTTAGAACGGGCCCAAGTTGTGCAAGCAGCCAGCCTGTATCTGGTGCTGAATGTTTCAGACATTTTTATTTTTATTTTTATTTTTGCAGTGCTGGCTGTTGAACCCAGGACCTTCACTTTGAGCTATATCTCTATTCCTTTTTATTTTGAAACAAGGCGTCACAAAGTCACTACGTTTCCCAGGCTTGGCTTGAATTTGAGATCTTCTGCCTCAGCCTCCCAGAGTGCTGGAATTACAGGTGTGAGCCACCACTCTTGGCTCTTCAGACCTTGTCATAGGGCTATTTTCCTCTTGGCCAAATTTTCAACTACCCTCTTCCCCCAAATAAAAGCCATCAGTCTGAGGGTTCTGACCCTTGAAAGTTTCCAAAAAGAGGGGCTAGAATAGTAAACATTTGGTGACTCTCAGGGAACCCTCTGAGGGAAATGAGAGGGTTGAACAACTTCATTTACCGCTGTCATCTTTGGCAATGAGGAACTCTTGTCCAGGGAAGACGAGCCTAGCCACCACTTCTGCTCTGTAGGAGCAGTGTGTGGGAATTGGAGTGGAAATACCATCTTCAAGGTTTTGAGGCTGCAGCAGGTAACAGCCAGCATGTGTACAGTCATGTGTTGCTTAAGATGGGGATGTTTACATTTATTGTAAGGGTTCCAGATCAAGTGAATGTACCATTTTCAGTACAGTATAAAGCTGTTCAGTCAGCCCCACTTGGGGCCAGACAAGTTATTTACTAGTAATAACCTGTCTAGGTGTGAGCAGAGACATGTCCCACAGATCTGCATAAAGATGTTTTTGCTTGAGCGAAGGGGAGCAAAGAAAACCATGAGTATGTGCACACCATAGAGTGTGTGATACAAAAAGACAGCGATAGAGTCTGTGGGACCACAGTCGTATAGACAGTCTTGTCATTGGCTGAAGTATCCTTATGTGGCATGACTGTATGTATATTTCACCTATCTAGTCTGCAAGACAGTAGTCATAAATTAAGTAATGACCCAAGGCCACAACTTGAAGGCTAGGTTGTAGATGGAAGAATGGTTTAGACCAATTTAGAAACCATTGTGTTAGTCAGACTTAAAGAGTTTCATTATTGTCTTTATATTCTAAATTTTCACCTCTTAGTACTTCTCTTCGTTTTGCATTTATTGCATGGAATAGTGAAGGAAATTGTATTACTTTTTTTTTTGATCCACGGGAAAAATAACCAAACTTTCTGTCAAGCAGCCATAGTTACTGAATATCTGTTAGGTTAAGGCTACTACTATGGTAGTGGTTCAGGCAGAAAAGTTGGATTTCAAAAGTTCCTAACTGCACAGAGCACATGTTATCACTTGTGGCTGTACTTTGGGGCGAGGGAATGAGTTAATGGAATTTAATTCTCTTCCCAGGTTCTGGTCATTTGCTGAAAGGGGATTTGGGTATTCTGTTGCTTCTGACCACAGAATTTAGTAGTTTTTTTGTTTGTTTGTTTGTTTTTGGTGTCATGGATCCCTTTAGGAATTAGGTATGGACCTCTGATGTATATGCATATATGCACACAATTTTTCCCTCCCCTCCCCTCCCCTCCTCCCTCCTCCCTCCTTGGAAATTGAACCCAGGGCTTTCACTGAATTACATCCATAGCCGTTCTTGTTTTTGTTTTTGTTATTGTTTTGTTTTTTGATACCAGGGATTGAACTCAGGACCTTGCATTTGCGAGGCAGGCTGTGGAACCACTGAGTGTTGTTGATTTTTTGAGACAGGGTCTCGCTATGTAGTTTGAGGTGGTCTTGAACTCACTGTATAGACCAAGCTGCCCCTGAACTCTTGGCAGTCCACCCTTCTCAGCCTCCCAAGTGCTGGTATTCCAGGTGTGAGCCACCATGACAGGCTATCCTCAGCCATTGTCCTTTTATATTTTGAGACACAGTCTTGCTAAGTTGCCCAGGCTGGATTTGAACTCTCAGTCCTTCAGACTATCAGAGTGCTGGAACTACAGGTATGCATCACCATGCCTGGCCACACAAAAGCCAGAAATGTAGGTTAGTGGCACCGCACCTGCCTGGCAAGTGTGAGGCTCTGAGTTTGATTCCTACCCCCCCGCCAGTATATAATTTCAGAGGCTTCGCATGCATATACTCTAGATTAAGAATTTCTCTTTTAGAGATTAAAAAAAAAATTCTTGAGAGCTTCCAGAGCTTTGTTTATACATAGTGATTGAGTAATTTGAATTTCCTGTCCTGACACTTATGACTTATGATGTTTTATAAGACAAAATTTTTCTTTCTCTTTTAAAAGTTCAGGCTTACTCTGTGCAAGAAAGATAATTTTTTCTCCTCTCCTCTGTCTCACTCTCCTTTCTCCCTTCCCTTCCCTTTATCTCCTTTCATCATTACTGGAGACTAAATCCAGGGCTTTAACACTAAGCTGCATCACCAGTCCTTCTTTATTTCTTTTTTTTTTTTAGTTTTGAGGCACGATCTCACTAAGTTGCCTGGGCTGGGCTCAAACTTTTGATCCTCTTGTCTCAGTCTCCCAGAGTACTGGGATTACAGGCATGCACCAGTATGTGCCCACCCAAAAGAGATATTTTCTTTTCTTTTAATGTGGAGAAAAACATGAGTGGCCACGAGGTAGTAAGATTGATGGCCAGCTGATTCAATAAAGGGGAGACTGCGAGTCCATACCTTCTGTGTTATCGAAGAGGATTGCCACAAAATCGTAGTTGCTATATCGTTTCTGGGTGATGACCTCCCAGGCCTACAATCCCCTGGAGACACTTTGTTAAATTAGGCCTTTCCTGCAGATGGAGGAACTGGAGCAAGGCCTGCTGATGCAGCCATGGGCATGGCTACAGCTCAGCGAGAACTCCCTGTTGGCCAAAGCTTATATCACCAAGCAGGGCTATGCCTTGCTGGTTTCGGATCTTCAACAGGTGTGGCATGAGCATATGGATACTAGTGTGGTGAGCCAGCGAGCCAAGGTGAGTGTGAAGAGGAGTAGTGCCGTGGGGTGGCGGGGGTATGCTTCTTTCCTAGCAAATGCCAGGGAGCATTAACATCAGCCAGCTTGATTGCCTGTAAGTTGGCAAGGAAGATTGGATTAACACGATTTTAGTTACAGGTTGACTATCTCTAATATGAAAATCTGAAATCCAAAATGTTCCAAAATTGAAAATTTTTGAGCAGTAGCTCTCAGAAAGTTTCAAATTTTGGAGCATTCAGGCTTTAGCTTTTGGGATCAGTGTTGCTTAACTGGTACAGTCAGTGCATATATTCCCAAAAACAAAAAACAAAACAAAATAAAAAAATCCCCTCTGAAATCTAAAACACTTCTGGTCCCAGGTATTTCAGTTAAGGGATATTCAGCCTGTCATGTCTTACACTTTTATTTACACTCCTGGGATCTTGTCGTGTGTATGCGTGTTTGAGAGATTCTGTGTGTGAGAGAGAATGTTTATGTATGATAATGCATGATGTGAACTTGATTACTTGATATACAGCCTTCTGTAAAGTGATGTTGCCAAGATAGACTCGTGAAGTAAACCAGTTGATCTATCTTTGTGATCCCTTCTTGTTTTCTTTCCTGTTTTGAAGTTTTTCTTTCCCTCTCTGCCCTTTCATGCCCACCTTGACCAGAGCTTTTCTTTACAGGTGCTCATGAGGAGTCAGTTTCCTATCAGTACCCTCCTTCTATACAACTGCTGTCTCTTTAGGAGCTGAACAAGCGCCTGACCGCTCTCCCGGCAGCTTTTCTCTGTCATTTGGATAATCTGCTTCACCCATTGTTGAAAGATGGTGTCCAGCCTGATGCAGCTGCTTTCTCCTGTGAGCGTGTGGCAGAGGCACTGATTCTCCGGGTGCGGAGTGAACTCTCTGGTCTCCCCTTCTATTGGCATTTTCGCTGCAGTCTGGCTAGTCCCTCCCTGGTAAGTGCAGTTCAGATATGGGGTGGAATTGCGGCTTGGAATGAAGCTTTAGGTGTTCTTTTATTTTTGTGAAGCCTGTTCACAATTCTTCTCCAAGCAGAAAGCTGTCCTTGACTACACAGGGGACAAAAAGGATTCTTGACTAATATATTCTTTCTTTCCAAAGGCACTAAAGTTTGGACCTACACACTTTGTTAGATGACTTTATTCATTAATTTATTTACTGAATATTTATGAAGCATCACCTATATGCTAATTATTGGGCATCCTGACATGAAATAATATGGTCTCTTTCTGGAGTTTATAAACTAGTAAGGTGACAGATAGGAAATTGTGTTACAGTGTCGTAAGTTCTTTCACTGGGCTGGGCTGAGGATGTCTAGAGGAACAGAGAAAACCTCTTTGAAAAGAGAGTTTCTTTTCTTTTCAAGACAAAGTTTTGCTCTGTAGCCAGGCTGACCTCAAATTCATAATCCTCCAGCCTCAGCTTCCCAAGTGTTGGGATTACCAGCATGCAGCATCATGCTTGGTTTCAGGAGAGGATTTTTGAGCAGAGTTTTGAAAATGATTAGAAACTAGTTGGGAGAAAATAAAGAGAAGAGTCATTGTAGGCAACAAGCATAGAGATGTTTAAGTGTGGGACAAGTTCAGGAACTTCATGAATGCAGGACAGATAGGAAGATGCGAGAAACGAGGTAGGCAGTGGCCAGATCTGAAGGACTCAGTGAATTTCGATTTTATCTCAAAGGCAGTGGGGATTCATTGAAAACTTAAAGCAGGAGCTTAGCATGATCCAGTTTGTGATCATCAAAAACATTAAAAACAAAACAGGAAGAAAAAGCACTCCAACAACAGGATGGAGTATGTGCCCCAAGCATTGTCTAAGCATTGTCTCATCTTGTAGTCCCCATGAGTTTCCTGCAAGATATGTGTTATTATCCCAATTTTTTAGAGCAAGAAACCGAGATTGAAGGTAGCTTGTCCAGAGTCATCCAGTTTATAAATGAATGAGCTGAATTTGAGTGCTGGCTTGGCCTAGTCTGAAAGCCCACTCTCAGGGATTAGAAGTATCATACCTTGTACTCACTTATAGCTGAAGCACCCAAGTGCTTGTATTAGAAATGAAGAGTGGGCGTAGAGTAGTATTTTGTAGGAATGATAGACAGAGTTTGTTTCAGTCGGTAGCACTTAGAGGCCAGGGTCTTCTGTGGGAGGCCACGAGTATAGGTTTATCAGCAGATAGATCTGCAGAATGTGACCATCTTTTCCCAGATCTTGTCTTTGGTCTCCTGTACCTGCATGTGGTGTTTTGGCCTCCATACATGAAACATTACTGATGTTTATTTTTTATCTGGAACCTCATAAAGGTAGACTGGAGAGCTGGGGAATTACTTCTCATTTATTCTGAATTCCTAAGGCCCATCCACAGTGCCTGGCATATAATTGTCACTCACATTTGTTAACTTTTTTTTAAAGCAAAACATTTACTGGTACATTTTAGGTATACATAATGACAGCATTCATCATAAGGACATTTGTTGATTTTAATTGAATGTCTTATAAAATCTCTCATCCTGCTTTTGATACAGCATTTCATTCAAAATCCCTAGGACTTTTTCTAAGAGACACCAGGGGGCACTATTCCCCCAGTAATGCTTGTTCTGAGCTGCAAACTCTGGGCAGCTTTTGGGAATCCCCAGTAATAGCTAGTCTCATTTTGCATTACACAGCTCTACAAATTTCGAATAGTGTGACTAGGGAGGCAGCTCTCCTGGGGGCCTGATGGACACTAAAATTTCTTTTAAAACAATATAGCATGTTGGGAAAGTCTTAAGGGTAGAATATTTGCCTAGCATGTGCCAGGGCCTGGGTTTGATCCCTAGCACTGAAAAAAAAAAATACAGAAAAGAACATTTGTATAATAGTATTTATTGTTTTTGAGACAAGGTCTCACTATGCAGTTCAGGCTGGCTTCAAACTCTATGTAGCCTAGGCTGGCCTTGAAAGTACGGTGATACTCCTGTCACAGTCTCCCAAGTACTGGGAATATAGTCATGTGCCAACTAGCCCAGCCGTATAATAATATTATAATTATAATTGAAGAAAAAAGTAAAGAAAGACTGGCTGTTCTGGCACATTCTTCTAAGTGAGGAGCTAGAATAAGAAAAGTAGCAAAAGTATTTAGAGAAGGATGAGTCTTGATTGGCTATGGGGAGACATTAGTTTTGAACAATTGATAAACTACTGCCCTTTAAGTTAAAATAAAATACTTATCATTAAAAGAGGAAGACTGTCATGCCCGGGAAACCCCCAAATCCAGGGGAGCTTGGTGGGGAACAAGTGATAGCCATGAACACTGGCGAAGATGTAGGTGGATACTATTTCAGCTTGTGTGTGTGTCTGTGAGGTCACACTGTTATAATTTTTGTTTGTTTCTCATTCTTGTGGCAGTTTTCATTTACTTTTTTTTTTTTCCTGAATGGGTAATTCCTGCCAACATTTCAGACAGCATTTAAAGGAATACAGTGAAAAAACAGGTCTTCTTTTTGCTCCCTTCTCTAGTCTCTCATTTTCCTTTTCTAAAGCAACCTGTGATACCTGCTCTGAGTGGTTTCTTAAGAAAAGCTGTGTTGTGTGTTTCTATGTGTGACTGTAGGTATAAATTCACACAGTTGAATACTTGTCTGCATACATGTACATAGTTTTACACAGGGTGTGCTGTACCCAGTGCTCAGTGCCTTGCCTTTTATGCTTAATTACAGAATTTAGATATCATTTATACCAATATATTTAGGAGACCCACCTTACTATCTTTAGTAGCAACATGGCATCTTACTTAATGGTTGTTTTAATATGTATTTAATTGTTCTACTTCTTTGTGTGCTATACACTAAATACCCTCACATTCACTTCTGCTGTGTGTAAATGTGTGAATAAATTCCTGGAAGTAAATACCTAGGGCAAGAAATATTTGTGTCTTTAAACCATTCACCTCGTGCCAAACTGTCTTCCAGACATACTTGCAGCTTAATTCCTACTGGCTATATAAGTGCACAGGAAGGTACCTGTTTCCCTGCAGCTTCTGCCATATAATGTATTCACACTCTGAGTTCAATGGTTAGGTCTCTGCAGGATGTTAAGAAATATATAAAACTTTGGGTCTCTAGGTCTCTGCTTTTTATTTGCTTGGTTTTTTTGTTTTTGTTTGGTACCCTTATTGGGTACCTTGTTGGCTTGTTTTTAAGACACGGTTTCACTATATAGTCCAGGCCAGCCTTGACCTCACTTATGTAGCCCAGGCAGGCCTCAAACTTTTGTGAATCCTTTTGCCTCAGCCTTCCGAGTGCTGGGGAGAGAGTGGTCACTGCTTTATCACTCTGAGTCCATCTTGACTTCTCTTCTTCTATTCCTCCCTATTGTCTGCTCTTTCTAGTATCTAATATAATTTTCAACATTCCATATTTTGAGTTTCAAATTTGTCACTCCTTTGGTTGTTCTTTTTTTTTTCTTTCACATCTTGACTTTGCATTTGCTCTTTTATTTATTTATTTGTTTGTTTGTTTATTTGGTACTGAGGATCGAACTTGGGACCTTGTGCTTGTGAGGCAGGTGGCAGAACCACTGAGCTACATTTCCAGCCTGGCTAGATTTTTTTTTTTTGATATCTAGGAATTACACCCCAAGATTTCTTGGAGTTAGAATGATCACAGGCTTGGGACCAGAGGACTTGATTTTGTAATTAGTCCCACCACTTTCAGACTTCCATTACCATGAATAAGTATGGAAGTTTTATGATTTAGTTGCTTCACCTGTAAAGTGGAGATACCACTTACAACATTACTATGAATTTGTGAGGATTAAATAAGAATATTTGTAACATTATGATTTTAGTGGAATTTTAATCTTTCAGCTTCCTCTTTTTTTTTTTTTTTTTTTTTTTAAAAAAAAA